ATTGAGACTGTGCTGTAACGTTCTTTGTCAGCTCTTTTTGATTTGACTAGAGATATTTTAGCACAGTACAATTGAACAGACAATATTCAATCAACATGACTATGAACAACGCTTTGTATAAATTTAATAAATGGCGTTCAAGTTCTAGGAAAGGTCGGTTATACGGTTGTATTGAATTTCTTTCGAAGTTCACAGCAGTGATAATTTTATATAAATTGTACTTTAACCGGATACTGATACGAATGTAAGCAATAGAGACCTATATTGTTAGTGGTTAGGCTTTATCAGGAAACAACCACATTTAAGCCAACTTATGTGTTTCTTTTATGTGTAAATTGAGTACTGAACTTCAGCGCTCTGTACATATTCGCTGCGGTATGCAATAGCTAGAAATGACTGACGGTTACTGCGATATTTGATGAAGGTTTGAGATGGAGAGCGTAGAGCGTCCTAGCAATGGTAATATAAGTGACGCCAGTATAGCTCAACATTCAAATCTCGGCGAGTAATTAAACCCAGCAATTGTACTTTCGGCTATAGGGAAATTCGTAACTGCCTTTGACTGGCATGTGAATTTGTAGTTCACTGTAAAATCATTTTGCATCCCTTATTAGAAGTCTCTATTTTCTTTGTTTCGAATTCGGGCACTAATGGCAATCTTCGGAATTGAATTCCTATTCAGGTAAAATCTACTTAAATAACTACTCGACATGATATTCTATGTCTAAAATTTGATTGCAGATATGTAGTATTATGGGAAAGCTAGAGTGTTGCTATGTAGGTATTTTTCACTGCCCGCAATATGTCGAACTGTATGGCAAAACAGCCATCCTTTAGTAGGAAAAACTCATTTACACATACAATCTCGCAAAATAATAGTATCACTAATGTTCTCTTCAAAGCACTAGTATAATAGGCAGATGAGCATCGTCTCTTTAAGTGTACAAAAAATGTGGTAAAGTTAGTTGACCCAATTGCTTATTAAAACATGCTGGAATATTTTCACATAATCGCCGTTTTGTAAGTATGCTCAAAAACTCGGTGAGTAAAAATATACAGTATTTTATCTTTACTCTCAAGCTCCTCTAAGTCTGCGAATATTTGAATACACTCGCTGGATGGACCGAATTCTCAGCAGTGAGGTTAGTTAAATAGTTGGCAGTAGACATTTGACAACCGTGCTTTAAAGTCTAATGGTTTACGTAGTAGGTTGTAAAGCTGTTTCGCAACACCTGGCTGTTCTTTTATGCAGTGCTTTTGGCGAACGTGTACAAGACTTTGGTTCGTTGTGTAGAGATTTGAGATTTAATCCATAACCTCAGCAAGTTCAATGATTTTATGATCTTGGTACGTTTCAATAGGATTCATCTCAACTGTATTGTTGGTTGGTACTTGTGTTGCGTTAATATTAGTAAAAGTGGAAGAGTCTGAAGCTTTAGGATTTAGGAGTTTGGAGTTTAGATCGATACTTTATATCGTCCTGTCAGCTCTCAATTCTGCTAACTTGTGCAGTAGATACTGGGCTGGGAATTTTATGTTTGTGCGCGTTGTTTTCTGTGGGTGCAACTGAGATTGTTTAGGTATGCGTGCTATAGCAGCTACAATACATTTGTATTTCACTTATATTCTCTCTTCGGCACAACGTTCAATGGCTGCGCTTTCTGATCGTATCTAAGCTTGTGTTCTAATCTCATTCTCTATTGGAAGTGAGTAGTAACCAGGGAAGTCTAAATATAGCTGATTTAACATTGCGCCTGGCTGCATTTTTCTGACGACCGAGACTCCTCGCCACATTTGAAGAACTTTGTACTAATTTATTATATTTGTATCTGAATGTCGTGCCATATTGTTTAACATGAGGTCGACAACGAGCCTAACCTCTTTTGTATCGCACAGTTCAGACTGATTTAGCTAAATCGAGTTCCAGAAGAGACTCAGTCCATCACATATAGCTACTTCATGATTACCCATCAAGTTACTGGCTTGTCTGTCACTAATATCCGCCAGATCTTTTCTACGCACACCGCTTTCATAAATCACACGCACGATACGCTTATACCTATGCTCTATTCGGGTTTCTAATATACTGGCAACTTGTGAAGCTTTGACGATGATTGAGTTGGTTATGTACGCCGTACCAAAAAGATCACAACCAGGTCCATAGCTGTTGTAGCCTTCAGCGATCATTCTTTCAATAGTTGCAGTACCAATGTTACCTATATCTTGGGCAACTTAACGCTCAATCTCATCAACAGACATAATATCACTATCACGTGCATTACTATTATCATCTGCAGATCGATCCACTATTCCGTCCGTCTTCTATTACTATCTTCTTTACTCACTTCTTCCTCTTCATCATCACCTACACATACATGTGTCGTTAGCTTTGATGTTATCATAATCAATAACATACCCATATCATCTATCGTACCGGTACTAGTAATACTTGACCCATTCTCAGACACCACAGTAGTCGCTCGGTTTGCCATCTTCAGCAACTCCGCACCGCCTCGCAGCTTGTCGTTGGCGTCCACATGACCGAATTCGGTTTACTTTGGTTTTCGCTTTACAAACTAGATCGTATATACACGTCCGTTCGTAAGTGTAAAAGCTACCGGGGGGTAGCCTAACATACTTACTGCAGTGATCGCACGTTGTATGCACCGTACATTTGCGAGCCACCATGCTTGCTGATCACGGCCTTATATCTGAAGTGACACATTTAATCGATGGGCATGCAATCGATGAGCATTCGATCGATGGGTGCACACCATCAACCACTATTCTTCACAGTAACCCCAAGTATATGCAGATATGGCAATATTTAGACTTAGATATCATGTAATTAGATATTTACTTACAAACCTTACAATGATGTTTACACATCACAAAATACAACTTTTACCTTGGTCGGAATCGACACAATTCTCCACACACATGAACCAAAAATGTTACGGACTTAGTGACTTTTCTGACGGGCTCTAATATGTTCCCTATAGAGAGAACATGTATATATTTATATATCTGTTCTTAGGGATACTCCCTGGCTGTAATCGATAATTTTCCATTAGATTATCATCTAGACGATAAAATAGCCTCAGTCAGGGTTGAGGGTATTTAAAGACTACTTACTACTCAGGTAGTACTCTTCAGTCTTTTACTTTTCACCAAGTTGAAAGTTCCTTTTTCAGGTAGTCCAAGGCACTGGTCAGCACATATCCCGCAACCATAGCAGTACCCTCGTACAATATAGACCAAGACGCAACGACAGTTTAATTCTGACACACGAAGAAAATAAACGCAGGAACGACCCTCTACTAAAAAGTAGCAGGTGAAGACCCCGCTGCTGTTGACCAGGAATAATTCAGTGCCCCGCCCATAGTTACGCCGAAACTGCCAATTTCGTAAGCAAAAACAGTAGTATGCAAACTCAAAACATGGCGGAAACTAGGGGCACCCCGGAAGCTAATGTTAGCGATAAAACACGTCTCCGGGGTCAGGACCGCCACCACCTCTGAAGGACTGTCAGAAGGAGCGGTACATTCCAAGTTCAGAATGTAATAGCCGGGCCTCCACATTAGACTCTATGTTATAAACGTACTCTTAAGCAGTAAAACCCTAAAGCAGTACGAGGAACTTAAGTTTCCTAAATGGGTTTTAACGGTTTTATTAATTAATACCTTTTCCATTTTACACATGAGATATTTAGACAAGGCCATTAAAAGGCCCCAGTAAAATACCAAACATAAGATTTGGTCTAGTTCTATTAATAGAACTATATTTACTTTCCTAATCTATTTATATCTGAATACTTCGGTAGCGAGATGGCTCAACCGAACATAGGTTTCTAAGGACTATTAGCGTTGCTTAGTTTATCCTCCGTCCAGCCAACCAGATGTGCCAGTCTGATGAAGGCTAAGTCGGTAATTCTTGATAAGTGGCAAGTTATTCGTTAATGCAATAACTATGGACATCAGGAGTATTTTTCTTTTTTCTTCTTCTTTTCGTTTTCCGAAAGATAGGATTTTATTAGTCTCTCGGATTCGCCCCAACGAAACATACCATAGTTTCTAATAGAGCGACAACGAAACATTAAATAAAACACTAAATAAAATCTCTTCGGCGAAAACAGTACTGAGAGGATTATATATAGGCAATGTCTCAGCCTCACAATCCCTCAGAGTATTGCTGTTTTCACGAGGCAAACCTAACTTTACTACAAGACTCATTTCGTATTTATTTCGAATTAAACTATACTTAGACTTAACATAAGCGTTTAATTACTCTAAGGCGTCAATATCGCCTTGATAGACCGAAACTTACAAGAAGTAACTCGCGATCAAGAACATGCATGGATGCGAAGGACTCAGCAAGAAAGAGTGATACGCCCAGTACCTCCCCACAAAACCGGGAAGGGTCGGATCCACAACTCCTTCTTTATTCTCAAAAGCGACAAACTTCGGGCACGAGAAATACTAGCTCCGGATATAATCAACAAACACTCCTCGACTTCGAAATTTTGGAAGAAGGGTTTAGACAGGTTGAATAAGGTAGCTCGTTGTTACTGCGATTATATGATGTCCGACGACGTAATGAACGGATTTTACAGTCTGAACGTAGCGAATCTATTGAACCGGATGTTCTACGTCGCAGATGGGAGCCTCTGGTGTGAACGCTTCTAATGGAAGCGAAATTCTGTCCTTGGTACTTCAATTTGCTGATGCAGATCATACGACAAGTGTGTAGACAGATGGGAATTCGACTAATAATTTACGCGGACGACATTTTTGTACTAGGTAGATTCAGCACAATTCAGTATCGGTAGAACTTCTTACAAGGTGTGATAAAAGAATTGGGCCTGTATCTGGCCAAAGGGAAGGAAGCAGACAGATTCACCCAATTTTTCGAACATATCGGCGTGATCATAGATTTCACGAACAATACGATTCAGATGTCCTTGACCTTTGGTCTGAAAGCGAAGGGAAGTACACGAGCACTTATACATTTGTTGTACAACCACCGAAGGCAAGCACCGCTTCGTACCGCTTCCTTGAAGTAATGCAGTGGGCATCGTTCTCAGTCCCGGGCACCCGCTCATTCCTGTCAGGGATTCTCCACTCAGCACACAAAGTGACGAGGTCTAAGATCGAGGTTCCAGGTGATCCAGTGAAGAAATTTAGGAGATTGTACTTTCCATTGAAGGATCTCCCGAGCCGAGAAATCTGCACGCTACTGGCAGATTGGAAAATAGCAACCGATAGCTTCATAAACGGCTTCGGCGTGTGCAGTACTAAACAATCTTCCAACTTTGAAAACATAGCAGTGGCAAGGGTCATGGCACGAAAGATACCGCAAGTTTCCGATAGCTGTTCTGGAGAACCGTATATTAATATTAGCCCGGATTCATTGGCACACAGAGATGACTCTTTCACTACAGCTCCCAATCATGTTTATGACGGACAGCAGCTTAGCCATGCACGCAATGCGCAAATGTCAGTCACGGTCGAAACACACTGATGAATGTACACAAATATCCACGTTCTTCTGTAATGTGAGATGGCCGGTATCTCTGGCTTACCTACCAGGCTCACTGAATTTTCACTCAGATATGCGGTCTCGATTTCAAAAACCAGACCAATACGAATGGACGGTACGGAGCAGTGATTTTCTCAATCTATATCAGAGATGGGGCATGGAGAATCCAACCAATATTTTCCGAAAGAATATTATCAAAATTTGGCCTTGTACAACAATCAACTACAGCAACATGTATGCGTTTCACAGAAAGTGGGACAAAGTATGCTACCTTATGACATTACCAGCACAACTGATGGGTCATACTCTAGATTTATGACGAAATCAGTACTGGTAGTTTTTCTATGGCACACAGCGACGTGGTGGACGTCCACAGACATACACTCGATTCGGTACTACTTCTTTTCGGGGTGGTCCACTACCGAATAGGAGTTACCGAGCTCTTGGGGCAGTCACGACCTCCATGGTGTTACGTGGCCATACTATACGACCCGACGGTGGACTGTTTTACAACAATATCTCATCTCGAGAGTCTCGACTTATGACATACGGCATAACTTCAAATACACCAGTTATGTCCACACATTAATCCACGAACATCAACGTTTTGCACGACATACGTTGCGATAATCAAGTACCAACAAGCCTCTGCACCTACCGATGCTGACTCACGATACAACAGAGATTTACTGACCACCGCATTTAGGCCAAACACTCATTTGTAAACTTCGATGGAAATTACTAGGTTTCAATCTATATTAAACTAAAATACAA